ATAATATAATATAATATAATATATCTTAAGTAAAATTAGGTACATTGTATTCAACCTGCAAGCAGATGTGCAAATATTCATGGGATTTAATGTTTAGTCTCTATATTTTCTAATTAATGTAATGAATTTGTAAATTCTAAGTATTCTTTATTACTATAGAAGCAATATGACAAAAGCCATTTTGTAAATTGTCATTTAAAAGTAAGTCCTTGTAACAATTTAATTTCGTTTGGTAATTTATTGTAAATAATTATCCACATGTTGAAACTGTTATTCTTATAAATTACTTTATGGCAACGAGGTTGGGTATAAAAGATTCATAATTCTTGCTCTAGTTTGCCTTTGAATGACTTCACCGCGTGTTTTAAAATATTGAGGATGAGAATTGTCAAACGTTGAGTGCCTGAGATAGGTCTACAGTTAACAGGGGCAGCTCTGCTTCCTTTTTTGGGCATAGGTTGCACGTTTGCAAGCTTCCACGACCTGGGAACTACACCAGTCTCAAGTGAGAGGCGACACGTACGTGTGAGATCAGGAGACAACTCAGGCGCACAGTTACGTAGGACTAACGCTGGAATTCCATCTGGCCCGCTAGCTTTATTCTCGTGAAGATTCCGCATAGTTTTAAGTACCTCTTTTTAACGTATGCGAACTGGCGCATAGTGCAGCCAGCCTGAGGTAAGGTAGGTGTCAGGTTCGCTACGGCATCCCGACGTGAACTCTCTGCAAAGAGCGTCGCGTTCTCTTCTGCAGTATGGGCCAGCGTGCCATCCGGCCCCTGCTGGTGGCAAAGATGGGTGACAAAAGTTACTTTAGACCGCTTTGGTCAAGGACCAAAAGGATTTGCTACCTGCCAGATAAGAAGCAAGCTTGGCCCCTATGCGGTACACATTTCAATTTAATAATAATTCGTTGAAAAATCCATATTGTGACCACATGTCTCAAGTAGCAAAAATAGCTTTGAACACTGTTAATCATCCTGAAACCGATATATAATATGTAGGTGCATACATCATAAACCTGTAAAAAATTAGGTCAACGTACTAAAATTCATCGCCTACATACCAGCGCTGCTATTAAAATTTTGTTTCAGCTTTTTGCACACGGGTCACGCCTCCAACACAACAAATTTTAATGCACAGAACATTAATATGATTGATACAGTTAGACGACTAGTTGTCAAGCAAATAATTCTTATGAATAACGACATAAAGTGTTATAATGTCTGAATTGTAATCCAGGAAGTACGAGTAGTTTCGCTCATTTCTGTAGTTATATCTTCTTATCGCATCAATGGCATACTCTATAATACTTGCCATTAAGGTGAAAGTATTTACTAATCGGCATAAGGTACTTTCAGATTGTTGCCTAGGTTAC